ATACAATGGAGCAATACTATTTGACTGTAGAAGAAATCAAGGATATTTGGGAACAATGTACTCAGAAATTACTCTTAATATTGTCTGCCACTATAAAAATGGATTTAACAGAGGCTACAGAAGAGAAACAGATTTTACTGGACAAAATAGAGACAGGCTGATCTGAACGTGGATCTGAGAATGGACTTCAAAATGCCAGACTACAAGAATAATATGGAAAAAGATGCCACATTGGATTTACAAATGTAACTGGTTGATGTCTTAATAATTAAAGGGGACATACAAATAATAAATCAGAAGAGTGACTTGGAAGCTTTCTTATCTTGGATTTACAAAAGAGACATGTTAAACTAGTGAAGATGTTTCTGAGAAGAGACAAAGAGAAAATGATAAGAAATCAACTTGTGGGACATTATTTGAAGGGATTAAAGATCAAGTGTTTTAAAAGTAAATGGAAGGACTATAATGTGGATTTATTCCACTAGGGTTAAAATATATATGTTGTGGTTTCTGGAACTTTTTTTTTTGACCAGGACTGAATTAAGAAGTTTTAAAGATTTGTTTATAGACAACAGATAAGATATGGGGAGAGATTTCTTTTGCTTTATTTTTCAGAGAAAGTGATAAATTGGAATACAAAATGCAATACAAACATTTATTTGATTAAGGTGAAAATATACATGTTATTATTTCTGATAGCTCTTAATGGACTTTTGCTGATTAGGACTGAATGATGAGTTTTTACAATTTGTTTATTAATAAGAGATGAGATATGAGAAGAGATTTTTTATTGAAATATTAGAAAAGGTGTTAAGTTACTGAAGTTGTTTATACTTGTCCAGAGGGAGGGGGAATCATTTCTTTATATGTCTTTTTTTCTTCTTTTCTTTCTATTCTCTTTTATCTTTTTCTCTGCACTTTTTACTTTATTCTTTACTTTTTATATTCTTCTTAGTTTGTATTAGTCTTTTGTCTTTGCATTTGTAAACTTTAATAAAAATTATTATTAAAACAAAAAGAAAACTAAGCCAATTTCTTGCCTAGCCATTTCAAAGAAGCTGACAGAATCATTGAATGTTAGGGTTGGAGGTGATCTTGGAAAACATTTAATTCAATCTTTCGCCTGGGGGCTATTACAGTGTCCCTGACAGATGGCCATTTAGCATCTGTTTAAATGCCACTGGGGGAGTCCACCACCTCCGAGTAGTCGGTTCTACAGGTAGTCCTTGCTTAACAACCGTTCATTTTAACGATAGCTTGAAGTTACGACAGCCTCAGAAAAAGTGCTTTATGACCTGTACTCACACTTATGACAGTCACAAACTGTCACACCACCCTCGCAGTCACATTATCACGATTTGCAACCTTTTTTACAACTGCCGTAAAGCTAATCATGCTGCCGTTAAGCAAATCACCTGGTTGTTAAGCAAATTCCAGCAAAAGGTCCATTGGGGAAGCTGGATCTATCAAAACACTGGACATGAAAGCCAAATCTGGTGTTTGCAAGTCAGATCCCTTTTCCCCTGGGCATGCACAGAATATCTACCACACTTGAAGTGGAATGAGAATCCGCTGCCAATTTTCCCTCTGAATCTTCTGCCAATTCACTTTCACTGTGCACTTTTCCCGAGTGGTGGTGTCACCACTCACCCTCTTAACTGGCAGCTAGCCAACTGCAGTAGAGCTAATACACTAAGGATGTTCTCCAGTGATGCTGCATTGTTTCTCAGTGCACTGCTCTAAGTGCCACTTATAGGGTAGCTGCTGGCCAGCCATCACCTGCTCAAGGAAGAAGGAGAGAGGAGAGTTGGACCCGCACTGCCCAGTGCCTATTCTGTAGCCAGCAGGACAGCAAGGCATTGCAGATAGCAGCATTGCTTGGATTCAGTGAAGCAGCTGTTCCATGCTTGTTTCTCTTTTTTGATACATGGGTGAGGATTATGATATTGTGCTTACATATATTAATATTTAATATGATATTTAATATGATATTAAAGCCTATTTCCCTTTCTTCCCCATCAGGGTTGCAGCATGAAGGTATTTATCGAAAGAATGGAGCAAAATCTCGTATCAAGATTTTGATGGAGGAGTTCCGACGAGATGCACGAAACGTCAAATTGCGGATCAGTGACAATTTCATTGAGGATGTAACAGATGTGTTAAAGAGGTTTTTCCGGGAGCTGGAGGATACTATCTTCACTACACGTTTACATCCCCAGTGGAAAGAGGCTGCAGGTTTCACCCTTCTTTCTTATACTGTCCTACTGTTAACAAGGCGCTTGGGCCTGTAGAACAGCAGACCACCTTTTTGAGTTGTATACAGAAAACCTACTTCATAGTGAAGCTGCCATATTCTTGAATCTTTATTTTGAGTCACAACATTGTGGAATTGATCATCATTGTAAATCCTGGGAAACAGTTTTTTAAGCTTAAAATTATTTTTTGAGATAACATGTTTTTATCTATACTTCAAAACAGGGGAGGACAACCTGTGCCCTGCAGAGTGCATGCTGCCCATCCAGAATCTTTCCTAGAGTTCCCCCAGACCTTCCTAGATGATATCACTGAAATTCAGTGGCAAAAATGTCAACTATGGTTTGCGCAATTTTCTTGGACTTTTGAAAAAGTTTTAGACACCAATGTCACCCCTTAAAATTCCCATAGAACATCAGAAAACTCCAAATCAAGCTGATATTCTCAGTTTTTCTAGAAGATGAAAGAATGGGTAGAAAAGGAGTCATAGGGCTTGGGGGGATTAAAGCTATCTGAAGCTATCACTAAAGCAAAACTACTAAAACTGGGGCTGCAGATTTCTTCCCTGTCTGGGTTCCAGGCTGTCCTCTTGCTTCCCTGTCAGAAGGCTTTTTTTTTAAATTAAAAGTATGTACACAGCCATAAAAAAGTTGCCAACGCTTGCTGTAAAAAAAACTCAAAGATGGACCATGTATCTTGAGTGCATATGGTGCAGAGATCTTCAATCAAAAAAAGTCTGGGCTAGCTGAGCAAGATTGTTCACTGACAAAAGAGAAATAGGAAAGGGAGGAAAATTAGAATATATACTTTTTCTTAAGGAATAATCTGGACCTCCAACAGATGATAACAGAAGAAAATGCTCAGGAACTGTACTTGTCTTCCACAGTCCTCTTCTAGACAAGTCATACACCTTGTTTTCTGGCACCCATTTTACTTGTCCCCTGGTCTCTATATGCAACTATCAATCTCTTGCAATAATTAAGGTAGAAAAATCACAAATTATATGGAAAATGTACATCAACTTTCTAATCAGTGTAGGACATATTTTGATTTTATGCAAAATGCAGTCACCAAAATTTAATTCTATGTTTCTTCTTTTCAGAAATTTCCCAGAAGTCCCAGCGCCTGGAGAGATACAAGGAGCTGATAAACCGCTTGCCCCATCTCAACCGCAGAACTTTGGCTGCTTTGATTGGCCACTTGTACCGGTTAGTCTGTTCTCTCTCACTTATTACTGCAAAAATGTCACTTGTACATGTCAGAACTCCCATGGCAGATGCTTTTATTTATTTTTTTCAAAGTGCCCCTCAGATATATGGATACTTTTGTTTCAGAGACTAAGACTATAGAATGCAGAATGTTGTAATTTGAACTCTGTAGAAATAAATTGAGGACAATAAATAGCAAAAACATATACAGTGCTACCTCGGTTCACAAACTTAATTCGTTCCACGATTCTGGTCACGAACTGAATCAAATTTCCCCATAAGGTTCAATGTAAATAAGGTTAATCCGTTCTGACCCTTACGAACGTGGTCGCCAGCCAAATCAAATTTTCCCATAAGGTTCTTAATGACACTGAAAGCTGCCGGCCAGAAATGGCTGATGCTTCGGCGGTTCGAGTCCAGCCTTCGCGCTAAACAGGGT